GAGGAAGGTAACAGTCCTGGGTCTCTCAGTGCCACAGACCTTAGTTAAGCTTTATGTCTGACTTCTTGTTTTAGCCCAAACAAGTTGCTTAAAAAGATGGTGAACCTCACATCTCATTGGTGCTCACTCATCTTTTCCTCATCTTTCCCGTGACAGTGGAGGAAGGACCCCTTATGCAATCAGAGGCCAGCCTGTCTTCCTATGCTCTGGGCTCCAGAAACATGGCTCTTAATTGTCAGCCCCTCCCTGTATCTTCAGCTGGGCCCACCACTCCTTCCCTCATCAGTAACACTGGCAAGCCTAGTGCCTCCCGCCTCTGAGAACCAGCCTCTCCAGTCTTGTCCCTTTCCAGGCCAAGCCGCCCTTTCTCTGCTTTTCTTCACAGCAAAACTTTCCCAAAGAGTTTCCTCCATTCGTCTTTTCTGTTGTCTTACTTGTGCTTGGATTTCCCTGTACTTGGCAACATTTGTCCATACGAACATTTTATTTTATTTTTTAAAAAATATTTTTATTAGTTTCAGAGAGGAAGGAAAGGGAGAGAAAGATAGGAACATCAATGATGAGAGAGAATCATTGATCGGCTGCCTCCTGCACCCCCTCTACTGGGGATTGAGCCCACAATCTGGGCATGTGCCATGACCAGGAATCAAACCACAACCTCCTGGTTCATAGGTCGATGCTCAACCACTGAGACATGCTGGCCCAGCGTATTGTATACACATTTAACATTTTAGGGTCATGTTATTGGCCTAAGAGGCTTTCAGATAGTTCTTGAAGCTGCTTGGTGATCAGCTCTTATGTGTTTCTATTTTTATGTTTCCTCTGTTGTTTGTCTGTAAGTCCCAGTTGGTGCCTCTGTCTTAGGAAGCCCATTCCCAGGAAGCAGCTGGCCTTTTGGATGTCTGTTTCTTAAGTTTATAGCATAGAGCAATGGACTTTTGGCTTTGAATTTAGTTCCTTTCTTTGTAAGGCAATAAATAAAACATTATTTTTTCAGGGAATCAATTTCGAGCAAGTTACTTCTTACAGCCAGAGCTCACTCCTTCACAGCTGGCCTTCAGGGATCTCCTGTGGGATGCTAAGACAGGCACTGTAAGTGTAGCTACTAAGTTACAACTTTTCCAGATTGTGTCCTGGTTGCAAGTATACCAACAACATGTAAATTGATTAATGCATTATGAAAAACAAAGAAATTGTTTCTGGTCTGTGATTTTGAAATACTCAATGAGTTTAATAACTAAGACAAAACTTGGGTTTGTGATTTATTTTGTTTCTCTTCTCCACGGCTCTCTTCTCCCATTGTTACAAAGGAAACAGTACCTATCTCAGTCATTCTCTGCCTCAATTTCTCATCTATAAAAAGGGAATAATAGCAATACTTGCCACATAGGGTTATTGCGAGAATTATGTGTGTGAAGGGCAGAGAGTAGTGCCTGGCTCATGATGATAACTCAGGAAATGTTAGGCAGTATCACCATCATCATCATCATCATTTGTGGGGAAGCACTGGACTTGGTTGGAAAGTCTGTAAGGAGGACTCTCTGAATGGTTGTGGGCCTCTACGGGACCTTGCCGAAGGTGGCAGCCCCTGCCTTGACGTTTGCAAACAAGTCTGAGGCCCCAGTGTTTACTGAAATCTTTATGTTTAGTGTTCAGATGTCCTTACTAAAGGACACTGCAGATGCATGTGTCTTCTCAAGGCTACTTACCCTGCTAATAGTATCTAGAAGTTAATTTTAGGTCAAGCTGTTGCTACAATAAAAGCCTAAGGAGGCAGGTGAATGGGGCTGTTGGGTTCCTATAGCCAAGCAATCCCTTAGCCCTCTCTTTCACAGAAATGTGTGTCAGAGTAATCATTCATCCGTTGCTCGGGGTCTGCTGGTCAGCCTCAGCAATTATTATTATTAATATTATGTTAATTAAGTAAGAATGAGTACTTTCTGATTATACTTTTTTTTGGATTCCTTAAAGGATTCCTGTATCCCCAGTTGAAGTAGGAAACACTCTTCATTTCATTGTACTCTCCAACTCTTTAGCAGATCTATACCATGTTGGAGTGCATCACTCCCCTTCCTGTTTATCTTCCACTTTTTCCGCTTCTTGCCCCAGGGCCTCAGGGGGTGAACAGACCTACTGTGGTCAGGTGTTGTGGAGAGGAGTAGTGCAGAATTTTAGTGCTGCTTTTCCTCTCAACCAGAGTATTGCCTGGAACCTTCTTTGTATTAAATATCTCTTATTGCAAGTCAACAAAGATGTCGTATTTGGTGTGTTTAGTGTACTAGTACTGGAATACTGGGATAAATGGCATTTCATTTTATGAATTTTACAACCTGCTCTCATTTCTTAAAATGAAAAGCTGAGGCTTTTAGATGTTGCCTTATTTTATCAATGATATAAGTATTTTAAATGGAAGGACCATGATTATAAGGCAGAAAGTTAAGAATGGAAGATGTTCTTAAATTAGAAACCAGATGACATTTGTTTATGGACATTCTGAACTGTACCTGTGAAGGTGAACCAAGCAGTCATATCCCATGGTCAGTGACTTCTCTCTGTCAAAACATCTGTTTAAGAAGCTAAGGAACAATGTAGCTAAGTGCTTAGAATTAAACCAAGGAGGAGCTGGCTGGAAGCTACACATGCTGTGACCGTCTGCCCTCACCCCCTTTGTGGAGGAGCGACTGTGTGAATAAGCTCATACATCTTACCTGATTGTATGGCAGTTCCTCCCATCACAGTTTGATACATTTCCACCAAAGTGCAAATATCTCAAATATAAATTGTCATAAAAAATGTACCTAAAATTTTGACTTAAGTTAATCATACTATTACAGTTTTCTTGTGGGTGCATATTTGTTTGTAAAATTCTTCCTTTTGTTATTTGTACATTATTCTTATGTATATTTTCTTACCTATTTATAAAAGATGCGTTGAAAATTACTTTGTCTTATTAGTCACAAAAGTAAACCTTTTTCATAACTAATTTTCCTTTTAGATTAGGTCGAGAGCAAGTCGTGTTTCCTTGATCCTGACCCTCTGGAGCTGTAAAATGATTCCTGTTCCAGGAGTGAGCATCCAGCTCCTCAGCAGACACGTGCGCCTCTGTCTGTTTGACGGCAGTAAGGTGAGCTCACTGCAGAGCACAGGGGTTCACGTCAGGATGGAAAACATTTTGTTAGTCACACGTTAAACACGTCCTGGCGGGAGTCTGTCTGTCTCTGTTTCTTTATATGTGCATGTGTATGTGTATGTATAGGCATGTGTACATACATATAAAGTAATATGTGGCAGAGTGCAACTACATGGGTTTTGATGACATGGGCTTTCTTCTGGCTCTTTCAGTGGCCAGATGTGTGATGTTGGCTAATCGTCACAGTTAAAGCCTTTCAGCCATAGATTTTTCACCTACAAAAAGGTACCGATGCTTGCCTTCTAGTATTGTATAGCTCAACACTTAGGCGCACAGAGTTGCATTTCTGTCAAACGCACATTCCTGTGTAACCCTCACCCCCATCAGGAAGTGGAGCATTACCTCCCCCTATGGAGCTTCCTTGTGTTCTTTTCCACTTGACTCCTCCCTGATTCCTAGGAGAATATTTTTTATCCAGTACCAAACAAAGAATTTGAATGACTCCTAAAAAAGTAATTGATTTGGCCCTGGCTGGGTGGCTCAGTTGGTTGGAGCGCTGTCCCATACACCAAAAGGTTGCAGGTTTGATTCCTGGTCAAGGCACATACCTAGGTTGTGGGTTCGATCCTTGGTTGGGCTGTGTATGGGAGGTAACTGATTGATGTTTCTTTCCCACATCGAAGTTTCTCTATCTCTCCCTTCCTCTCTCTAAAATTAATAAAAACATTCTCGGGTGAGGATTAAAAAAATTGATTTGTTTGTGAGACAGTATCTTTAAATGATGCTCAGGTGGATGTGTATAGCTTTAAAAAATGTATTTTTTATTGGTTTTAGAGAGGAAGCGAAGAAGTAGAAAGAGATAGAAACATCAACGATGAGAGAGAATCATTGGTCAGCTGCTTCCTGCATGCCCCCTACTGGGGGTTGAGCCTGCAACTGGGCATGTGTCCTGACCAGGAATCCAACCGTGAATTGGTTCAGAGGTTGATGCTCAACTACTGAGCCACACTGGCTGGGCTGGAAATGTATAGCTTTGATTGATATACTACTAGACAAGAAGAAAGATTTAAAATTGGTGCTCTAAACTAACTCAAGAGGCTAGAAAAGGAAGAGTGAGTTAAACCAGAAGAAAGCAGAATGGAGGAAATAATAAAGGTAGGAATAGTAATTAATGAAACAGAAAACAGATGAATAAAAGAGAAAATCAGAAAAGGCAAAAGTTTATTCTTTGAAAAGATTAGTAAAATTGAGAGATGCCCAATTAGTAAGACTGATTAAGAAAGTTTAAAAAGGGAGAAAGAAAACAAATGATCAATATTTGACATGAAAATGGCACCTCATCACAGATCCCCCAGACATTAAAAGGATAGTAAGGGGATATTATAAACATTTTTATGCCAATAAATTTGATAATTTATATACGTCAATTCCCTGAAAAACCACAATATACTGAAACTGACATAAGAAAAAAATAGAACATTTAAATAACCTTTGTTAAAAAAATTGAAACTGTAATTAAAAATCTTCCAACAAAGAAAACCCAAGGCTTAGATGGCTTCACTGGTGAATTCCTCCAAACATTTAAGGAAGAAATAATTCCAATAATAGACACATTCTTCCAAAGATGAAAAGGAAATCTCCCCACTCATTTTGTAGGGCCAGGAAAAATGTGATGCCAAAATACTATAAGACATTATAAGAAAAAAATTATAAGAGTAGTGTCCCTCATGAATATAAAATCTGAAATCCTAAACAAAATATTAGCACATTGGGGAATATTGAACTTGAATTTCAGGAATTCAAATTATGTACCTGTGTAACCAACATTTGACATTTAAATTCAGATCATTGTAATTTTCCATATTAACAAAACTAAAGAACTAAAGGAGAACTATAGATGTAGAAAAAGTATTTGACCAATTTCAAAACCCATTCATGATAAAAAAAAAAATCCCAACACACTAGGAACAAAAGAGAATGCCCTCAAATTGGTAAAGGGAAACTAGAAAACTAAAGCTAGCATCATCATCCTTAATGATGGAATGTTGAACACTTGTCCCCTAAGATTATGAACAAGTCAAGGATTTCCAAGAAACAAATATAACAAATATAACTCAGTTTTCTAAATGGACAAAAATCACTTAAAAAAAGGAAATATATGAGAAACTAAGAGGCATATAAAGATATATTCAACATATAATAAATCTTTGGGGAAATGCAAGTTAAAACCACAATGAGAGCGATCTAACCATAGCCTACGTATAAGAAACCTACCTTAGCCGAACCGGTTTGCTCAGTGGATAGAGCGTCGGCCTGCGGACTGAAAGGTCCCAGGTTTGATTCTGGTCAAGGGCATGTACCTTGGTTGCAGGCACATCCCCAGTAGGGGGCGTGCAGGAGGCAGCTGATTGATTTCCTCGATGTTTCTAACCCTCTATCCCACTCCCTCCTTCTCTATAAAAAAATCAAAATATTTATTAAAAAAAAAGAAACCTACCTTAAATGTAATAAGGGTGGAAAAACATGTAGCACTTAACATATATTAATATCAGATAAAGTGGGCTTTAGAACAAGACAGTTACCAGGAATAGAGAGGCACACTGCATGATAGGGACAGTTCACCAAGAAGATACAACAGTCCCCAAAGTGTTCACCTAGCATCAGAGCGTCACAATGAGCAAGTGAAAACTAATTAGTAAGGATAGAAAAGAACCCAATAACACCACCGACAAACTGGATCTAACTGACATTTTCCCACTTCACTCCAAAATAGACATTCTCTTAGGTGCATATGGAATGTTCAGCAAGGTAGATGCCTCTGAACAAAATAAAAGGATTGAAATAATACAGTGTATTTTTTAATATGTTCTTATTGATTTCAGAGAGAGGAAGGGAGAGAAAGAGATAGAGACATCAATGATGAGAGAGGATTATTGATTGGCTGCCTCCTGCATGCCTCCTATTGGGGATTGAGTCTGCAGCCTGGGAATCAAACCATGACCTCCTGGTATTCATGGGTTGATGTTCAATCATTGAACCATACCTGCTGGGCCGATGGTGTGGTCTTTGATCCCATGTAATTGAATTAGAAATCAGTAACAGAAAGAGAA